ATCTAAGGAGTAGACAGTGTTACTGATTCTCACCTCCTTGGCATACACAGTGTTGCCAAATCTCCTGTTTTCACCTGTGCGTACCCTGAAAGCTTTACTTTACCTGAAACTTCTTTGGAAGAGCGGTCTTGTGAGGTTTTTTTCTTTTTCTTTTTCTTTTTCTTTTTCCTTATTTATTTATCTCTGTTTCTTTATTTCTTTTTCCGTTTTTATTACTTTTTTCTTTCTTTCATTCTTTTCTTTCTTTTCCTTTATTTTTTCTACTTCTTTTTTCTTTTTTCTTTTTTTTCTTTTTTCTTTCTTTTTTTTCTTTCTTTCTTTTTTCTTTCTTTACGTTGTTTCTTTTTTTTTCTTTTATCTATTTTTTCTTTTTTTCTTTCTTTCTTTCTTTCTTAAGCATTTCCTCATTTTGTTTGTTTAGTTGCTTCTCATCATTTTTCTTATCGCTCTTATTTCTACATTTCTTTTTACTTTTCTTTGTTTGTTTAGTTGTTAAATATAATGTTTTTTTTGTTTGTTTGTTTGTTTTTTTGTTATTTTATCTATTCACTAATTCCTCTAATTCCTCGTCCTCTCTATTTCTTTTGTTTTGAGCTTTATCTTTTTTTCTATTTTTTTCTTTCTTTCTTTCTCTCTTTTATTTTTGTCTCTTTTTTATTCTCATTCGTTTTATGTATGAATTCCTTCTTTTCTTCTTTTTTATGGAATTCGATATTCTTTTTTAATTGAATTTATGATTTATAAATGATTTTTTTCCTCTCTCTTTCTCTCGTACTTCATATGATTTTTGTTTTTGATTTTCTGAAACATTATATTTTTAATTTTTTTCAGATTTGTTAACTTTATCATATCCAAAGCTTATTTTCTCTTAAATTCTCATTAATTCGTATTTATCCTCATTACTTTCCAGTTGGCCTTTTTACAACTTTTTTTTTTGTAACTATTTTTGTGGGGGTTCTTTTTGTTATAAGCTTTCATAGCGATGATAGTCATTTGTGATGATTTTTTTTTTTTTTTTTTTTTGGGGGGGGGAGGGGGGCAATCGAGATTTTTTTTTATGTATGGATTCTTTTAGTAATAATATTTTTACCCTGTCATGATTTCGTTTTAATTTTAGCATAATGATTTTTTATGAAATATTCTTAATGACTCTTTGTACTGAATATTTTCTCGCTATATATATTTTTTTTCTTTTTTTTCTTTTTCTTTTTTTTACTTTTACTCTGTAATATATCTTTCTTCCTTATCGCAATGATTTCTATGTTTTTGGGGGGGTAGGGTCATGATTATATCTTTGTAATAATGATGCCAATAAAACAATTATTTCCCTCGTTTTGGGGATAGTAAATTTCTTGCAAGAATATCATAGTGATTTCTCGAAATCATTATTTTTCTCTTTTTTTATAATAACTGTAACTGACAAGACGCAGATATTTATCGTCACTATTATTATCAATATCATGATCGTCATCACTATTATTGCCAATACTAACATCATTGTATTATTATTATAAATTTCATTGTTATTCTTATTGACATTAATAACAAATTTATTATTAACAACATGAATATTAGTAACATCATTAACATTATTAGTAGTGATAATAGTATCATTATCATCACTATCACTAATTATCTTGTTATTAATATCATTACTGGAATCATCAGTACCATGGCTATTGTGATTATCATAAATAGTAATATCATTATCATCAACATTATTTGCTGCAGTTGTTATCATTTTTATTATATAGTGTATTTTGGTTACTTTGTCATCCTAATCCTAATAATATTATACGGAGATTACTTACAAGTGATTTATGTGATTAATGACGATGATTATTATGCATAACAAAGTGTTGTATAAATGCATTCATACACCACCCTCACCTACGCACACTCTCATGCACATACATGCGCACGTGCACACAGACACACACAAACACACGCAAACACAAAGACACACACGCAAACACACACATACACAAACACACACAAAGACACACGCAAACACACACATACACAAACACACACAAACACACACACGCAAACACACACAAATAAACACACATACACATACATACACATACCTATAGCTACAAAGGCACACAAACAGTGTAAGGATATATTACGTCAAGATCTTATTTTTTTTATATCCTTGGATTCTGACCGTTCTCTGTATACACAGGCGTGTATATATATAGATACGTGTGGTTGAGAATATTGAAGTTCAGTAAAAAAAAAAAAATATATATATACATATTTATATACATATATATATACTTAAACCTTTAACCATTTATTTTTGTGACGCAATTCTGATAAATGAACATACATGGAATTAAGGGAATAAAATTTATATCACTTCCACAGTTCCCTCCGTTCATGCACTTCAGTCATGTCACTCTGTTCACTTCACTTCACTTCATTTTTCCTATTCGCTCTTTTCTATTTTTTTTTTTTTTTTTGTCTTTATGTTCACTTCACTTCACTTCATTTTTCCTATTCGCTCTTTTCTATTTTTTCCAAACGTTCATTGATGTTGATTGCAATGTCGTGAAGTTGCAAGATTCCAACTCGTCTCTGTCTCTGGCACACTTGCACTGCTTTCAATTGCTCAACACTAATATATTCAATCCAAACATACACTCACAAACAAAAGATTCATACGCTTAATATATTTCGCAAAGATCCAAGTCCTCATTATATTTATAAATCAACTTATGATATATTAAACTTCATTAACATATAATAAACTCAGTATTCACCTTCAGGGATGGTTAGTTTATAGATGGAAGGTTAAGTACACTGCTATTGCAACTGCTTGGCCTCTTGTAAGCGCCACCAATGCAGTTAACCAGAGCTATTTCCTTCCAAGCAGCTCGTCACCATACATAAATACATACATACATACGCACACACACGCATCTAAACAACCACAAGCAGGTAGGTCGTCAGTGCTTAAAGCTGTGGCTGTGTATTTGACAAACAGACAATTAGGTAGATAATATGTATACCCCTATCCACCCTCCATCCCCCCCAAAATGAATAGATTAATTAATTAATTAATTAATTAATTAATTAATTAATTAATAGATGAATTGATAGATAAATTAATAAATAAATAGATAAATAGATAAATGAATAAATAAAATAAAATAAAGATAATAATAGGAAGAATAAGAATAAGAATAAGAAACCCAAAAACAAAATCAGAAATAAACCTCAACATCGACCGCCATTTTCCCTCCCTGTCCGCCGCCCCGTCTCCCCCCAGCGCACCCTTCTCCACGCTGCCTCCTTCGTGGCCTCCGTCGGTACAGATTCGCTGCCAGGGAGGCGTTGAGGCAGGCGAAGGCGGCGGCGACGAGGTACTGCGCCGAAGGGAACGTGTCCTCGGCGGCGTGGGTCAGGTCAGCGTAGGTCAAGCGTTGTAGAGGGGAGGTCAGAAGCCGCAACGCCGCCAGCAGGCCGAAGAGACGGGCGTGCTCGGCGCTCGTGACGATCTGTGGGGGGAGGGGAGGGGGAGGGGGAGGGGGAGGGATTTTTTTCGAATGATTGGCTCATGTATTTGCTTAAGTTTATGTACATAGATTATATATATATACATATATATATGCATACCCATGGCTCTGTCTCACACCTACACATCACCCTACATAACCCACCCTTCTTCCCCACCTCCCCTCCCCCACTACCCTTCCCCACTACCCTCCCCCACCAACCCTTCCCCAACAACCAACCCATCCTTTCCCTCCCCCCATCCCCTTCCCCCCCTTCCCCTACCCTACCAACCCATCCCCTCCCCCCTTCCTTCCCCCTCTTCCCCCCCTCTCCCCTCTCCCCTCTCCCTATCCCTATCCCCCTCCCTTTCAACCTCCCCCTCCCTACCCCCCACCCCCTCCTCCCCCTCACCCTCGACGCCGCCGCGGTGACCCCGATCTCCGTGAAGTTGTGCATCAGCGAGAAGACGAGGACGAGCGCCAGCATCCAGGCCAGGTCGGGTCCGGAGATGGCCAACAGCAGCAGGTTTTCGGGGACGCACGTGGCCTCGGAGACGGCGGCGAGGAGGCAGTCGTCGATGGGCCATCTCCGCATGGCCAACAGGACGAGGATTGTGGCCACCTGTGAATTCATTGTCCGATATATATATATATATATATATATATATATATATATATATATATATATATATATATATATATATACATCTATACATATATATATGTGTGTGTGTGTGTATTGGTGTGTATATATATATATTTTTTTTTGAGGCATGGTTGCTATGATCATTAACACTTCATTATAATTGGTGTTACCGCCATCATCATTATTATCATTGTCATTATTTCTATCATCATTATCATTGTCATTATTTTTATCATCATTATCATTGTCATTATTTCTATCATCATTATCATTGTCATTATTTTTATCATTCTCATTGTCATTATTTTAATCATCATTATCATTGTCATTATCTTTATAATCATTATTATCTGTCTCTCTTTCTACCTTTCTGTCTCTCTGTATACCTTTCTCTCTCTCTCTCTCTCTCTCTCTCTCTCTCTCTCTCTCTCTCTCTCTCTCTCTCTCTCTCTCTCTCTCTCTCTCTCTCTCTCTCTCTCTCTCTCTCTCTCTCTCTCTCTCTCTCTCTCTCTCTCTCTCCACCTCACCTGCCCGATGATCATAGCACTCTTGCTCCAGATCAAATAGAAGCGAAAATCCCATCCCAGAACCTCGGCACTCCACCCCTCGAGACCCGGCGGACGCGAGAAGGCAGCCAGAGTCCACAGGAGAAGGAGTCCTAGCAGCTGACGTTTCCCTCCTTCTTCCCTGGGACTGAGAAGGACCTCAAACGCCTCCTTCGCGTTCTTGGGGTGAAGGACCTCGGAGAATCCCCCTTCGCTCTTCCTTTGCATCGAAGTCCCTGTCCTCCTTCCCTCCTCGTGTCCTTCGCCTCCTCCTCCTCCTCTTGCTCCTACTACTCCTCTTTCTCC